TTAGGTGCGCAATCGAATCGAGAGACGAATTGCCCACCCCGGAACACTTAAAAATTAAAATTCTCGACGAAAACACAACAAGAAAACAACGGAATCAAGTCGACGACCAGGCTATGTTCGCTCGAAAAGGAAAACTAAACAAGAAAAGGATCAACAATAAGGCAATAAATAAATCGGCCGATAAAACAGAAGATTCCGACTTCACATTCAAGTTTAGGTGTCACCGGTGCCGAAAAATCGGTCATAAAGCCATAGATTGTTCGGAAAAATATGAACGAAGCACGAAGCACCGTGAAAATAAAGAAAAGGCTGCCATCGGTGAGGATATGTCTTTCTTAACCTCAATCGCTAACAATACTTCATGTTCGGCAGGAAATGTTCAGAAGGACGACGGCTGGTGTATCGATAGTGGATGTACATCACACTTGTGCAGCGACGAGAAAAGATTCGAAGAGATCTCAAAATCCGAGAATACCAAACTCAATCTGGCGAACCACGACTCTACCGATATAAAAGCAAGAGGTACGATACGGATAAGTGCTACAGACGGAAACGCGACCAGACACGTGCGTCTGGAAAATGCATTACATGTACCCGATCTACGGAGCAACCTAATATCGGTTGCAAAGATCACAGATGCTGGAAATCGTGTCATATTCGAAAAGAAAAAAGCTGTAGTAGAAAACAACGAAGGCGAAAAGGTATTAATTGCGGATCGAAAGGGAGACTTATATTTTCTTCGCGAACCCAGGGAGACAGCCTGCACGACCTCGACCGCGACACACAAATCTGCGATGACCATATGGCACGAGAGATTTGGACACCTTAATTGGAGCGATCTATTGGAAATGAGCAGAAAAGAGGCAGTATCCGGGCTTCATTTGCGAAACGACAAGACAATGAACTCATGCGAAATCTGCTCAGAAGCTAAACTTACGGCATTACCATTTGGAAAACAATCGCAAAGAAGCAAACAACCGTTAGAAATTGTCCACACCGATATATGTGGCCCGATGCGAAACGAGTCGAGAGGGAAAGCTAGATACATTCTCACCTTCATTGATGATTATTCTCGTTGGACGGAGTTACGCTTTCTACGCAAAAAGAGTGAGGCCTTACAAACATTCAAGGAATACAAGGTCCTCATAGAGAAACAGACCGGACTCAAAATCAAGACCTTAAAATCGGATAACGGACGAGAGTTTTGCAACGAAGAATTCGATAGATTTTTGAAGAAGGAAGGAATCGCGCGAAAACTCACCACTCCATACACACCTCAATTAAACGGGGTGGCGGAAAGGAAAAATCGTACACTCATGGAAATGGCGCGATGCCTGATGACACAATCAAAACTGCCTATTTCTTTCTGGGCAGAAGCAGTAGCCACAGCAAACTACATCAGGAACAGGTGCATCACGAACACGTTACCAAACAAAACACCTTTTGAATTATGGCATGGAGAACGTCCAAACGTGGAGCATATACGGATTTTCGGCGAACTGGGATTCGCACTTGACAAGACACCCGGGAAAGGAAAACTCGACCCACGAGGAATAAGATGCAACTTTCTCGGATATGATGAATCGACTGGAGGCTATCGAGTATGGATCCCGAACAAACAAAGAGTAATCATTACACGCGACGCAAGATTTCTAAATGTTTTCAAATCCGCGGAAGAACCCGAAAATCACGCACCCACAAAATCGCCAGATCAAGAGCCTATCGACAAGTTAAATGAAAAGCCTAGTCACTACGATTTTCACATGGATCCCGAAAGCGACGACGAATCAGAAGACGGAAAACAACAACAAATTCTGACTGAGGGAAATCAGGAACACAATATTATCACTGATACAGCCAGAAGGGGACCAGGCAGGCCTACAAAAATCCTCACAGGAAAACGAGGTCGCCCACGAAAATTATATCCGCTATTACAAGAAAGAAACGAACTTCCCGAATCCAGCAAAGAGAAAGAGATCGACGGCACTTCACGTCAAGAGGAATCAGGTAACTCGAATACACCGGAAGTAAACTTGGCAAGTCTTTCATCGGAAATTCCTTGCCAGCAAGCATTAAATGGACCGAACAAGGAAGAATGGGAGAACGCAATTCTTAAAGAAGTCCAAAGTCTCATAAAAAATGACACATGGCGGATTGTCAACCGACCCAAGAATCAACACGTCATTGGATGCAGAATGGTTCTAAGAAACAAATACAACGCGGATGGACAAATTGAAAGGAGAAAGGCGCGACTCGTTGCGAGAGGTTTCGCACAACGTCCCGGGATCGATTATCACGAATCTTTTGCCCCTGTCGCTCGTCTTGGATCTATGCGCCTATTGCTCGCCCTCGCGATCCAACATGATTTGAAAATACACCAGTTGGACATCACAACCGCTTACTTGAATGGCAACATTGAAGAAGAAATCTTCATGGAATTACCGGAGCAACTTACAGGAAGCTTGAGAAAAATTATTTCCAAAAATGGGATCAAGACCGATATAGGAAATCGAGCAAGTAAGATGCTAGAACAGATCCAGGACAGCGGGGACAAAGTTTGTCGCCTAAAAAAGGCCCTATACGGCCTGAAACAAGCTGGTTATCAATGGCATAAGAGACTGGACGGTAAGCTCAAATCCATGGGTTTAACAGCAACTAACGCAGACCCATGCGTCTACCACATTGAACGAGGGGGAGATCCTCTGCTAATTCTAGTCTACGTAGACGACATTTTGATATTTTATCGTAAAGAAAAAGATTTAAACTTTATTCGTAAAGATTTGTTACAGGAATTCGAAGTAAAAGATTTAGGAACCGCGAGTCACTGCTTGGGAATCGAAATTACCAGAAGTGACGACAATATCACTATATCCCAGTCGAACTACATCCGGGAACTCCTTTCACGATTTGGAATGGAGCACTGCAACCCCGTCGGTACTCCCGTTGAGATGGGCGTGAAGCTCGACAAAAACATCGCCGACGAAACGGATGAGGATTCGAAGGCGAGGCCATATCAGGAACTCATTGGTGCCCTCAACTACCTGGCCATTGCTACGAGGCCAGATATATCGCACATTGCAAGCTGTCTCGGCCAGTTCAACACATGTCATAACGAGCAACACTGGAGGGCCGCAAAGCGCGTCCTGCGCTATCTGAAAGGAACAATCGACTATGGAATCACATACACCAAGGGTGCTGGAATTCTAGAAGATTTCGTGGACGCAGACTGGGGGGGGATGTCCAGTAGATCGGAAATCCTACACCGGGTTCGTGTTTACGCTGAACGATACTGCAATAAACTGGGAATCTAGAAAGCAACGGACCGTCGCTCTCTCATCCACCGAAGCAGAATACATGGCATTGGCGGACGCGACGAAGGAAGCTTTATACCTACAAGGATTTGTATCGGAACTTAAACTATGTCATCTCAGGAAGATCCGGGTAATGAACGACAACCAAGGAGCACAACATCTGGCTCGGAACCATACTTTCCACGCTAGATCCAAACACATTGACATGAGACACCACTTCGTGAGGGATGCGCTTCGCAGGGGTCAATTGGAAATCAAACATGTGCCTACAGAGAGGATGGCCGCGGACTTCCTTACAAAAGGGTTATCCAGAGACAAGCATTACAGATGTCTAAAACTGATCGGTCTCGGAAGGATGACTAATAATCAGAACGACGCTACATTCGAGGGAGAGTGTTAGGATTATATCCTTATACTAATTGCCATTGGACGACTGTAGCGCCACGCGTTGCATCTCTTACGAACGTTCCCCCGGAAACGACACTCTTACTTCTCATGTATTTCATGTCCTTCTACGTATAGTCGTCTGAGTAACACGCGCATTCAGTTGAGCTTTACAATAAATGCTATAACCGAATATATATACTCGTATTCTCTGCCTCTGATACCTTAACAAAACACATAAATAACATTATAACGTAATTGAAACAGTTTATAATTAACATAATAATCGCTAACACAATTCATTGTTTATTGGTTGTATGTCAAACAAACAAAAATAAAAATTTAAATTATTATCTATGATTCACTCGATCATTAATCAATGATGTTCAGTGTGAAAGTGAACTAATATACAAGTATTGAACTGCATTAACGATCTCTCAAATTTATGATACAGGTATTATACAGAACGTTACAAAATAAATATGCTATATTGCATTACGTATTCTACATTGCAAGCTTCATCTATTTATTACTCGGAAAAATAAGACATCTTTCTTTTTAATAGTATTTCGCTCCGATGTTTTCTTAAGGTGGTTTTATCACTCAACGCTAACTCGATAGTGTGACGTTGTCACAAAAACAATCTAATTTAATACAGAGGAATAGTTCGTACCAGTGACAACAATTGAATACTAAATATTTTGTAATGTGTTGTCATTTTAAATAAAAAATAAAAAAATTTAAATAAAAACAAATAAAGTAAATATTAATTAATAAATAAAAAATAAAATATAAATAAATATGATTAGTTATAGTTTAAAAAATTTTCTCTGAATGAATTGCTTTTACAATAATTATTGCTGTACAATAAATAAAAAATAAATTTGAAACACATTAAAAAAATTAACATAATAAGAAGATTGAAAAAGTCAGAAAAAGTAAAAAATCTACATGCTCGATATCAACTGCGCTAAAAGTATTTGCAAGCATTTTTATTGTTTAAAAGATTTTATAGAATTTTAACAATGTAACGCTTAACTTTTATGTACATACAGTACAAATTCTAACTTCCTACTAAATTAGATAGGAATTATACTCGTAGAATAAATAAGTTAAGTTTTTAAAAAAACATAATAGTTCATTGGAAAAGACGACAAAACTGACTTAATTTTTTTGAGTAAAATACACGCAATAATATAGCGTTCTTATTTCGTGAGCCTGCATATTATATATATATATATATATATATATATATATATATGTATATATTTATGTATTATAAATAAATTAATTGTTTAATAACAATTATACATTACATACTGTATCTATGTAGCGAATGTGTATGGTGTACAACTGGGCAATAGCAGGTTTCTTTGGTACAATCTAGAAATATTTTTTAAATATAAGTAAAAAGAATTAATTGAAATGGATTAATGTAAAAAAGAATTACCGAAAATGTCCCATCCACAAAAATTTCACATGCTTCAGATAGTACTTTTAATAATACATCATTACTAAAAATAAGTGCTACTTTGTTATCAGACGATTTAGCACAACCTTTATAAATATTACTTGTAGGTATATACGTTTCTAATTGTTTGTGCAAATCATGTAAATCATTAGGAATATCTGGACGTGATTTGGCCTTGTGACGGCTGAGAATAGATTTCATGCTACTGTATGAAATATATGGTGCAACTCTCAAATTATTGCAAGAAACTGTATCAAATACATGTTTAGAAGATTTCGTTGTTTCTTTACACAATTGAATCATTTCTTTTTTCATTTTATGAATTTCAACAACATATTGATCTTCTGAATGATTATGTTTATGTTTCAAATTATAAGATTCTCCTTCTTTTTCTATGACTGCAGAGCATTTCTCAATCTTACGCTTCGAGCAACGATATATATTACTATATCTTTTGTCCATATAGTAGGTATAATTGTTATAAACATATAATTGAGATCCATTTCGTTTTCCTTCTATAATCTCCATCTGAAAACGTAATAAATAAAAGTATAAGTATACTATGCTCAACAAAAATTAGAGTCTAAAAGCAATTATTTATTAATTATGTTTTAATTTATCAAAAATTTGAAATTTAGAGATGTCATATTAATCCTTTTCTATAACACGCAAGGAAAATATTGCTACCGTTTTTTTTGTATACTTGCGCAGTTAGATAACATAATATTTGTGCAATAATAAAACAATAGTTACATTAATTGCTATTTATTACAGGTTAAAGCATTTAGATTAAGAACATGATGCCTTTCTTATATTTTATATACGAGATTCTTTTTAATAACAACATTCTATACACTGAGTAATTGACATACATGCAAGTTCTTTCTTGATAAAACCGTTATATTACTGAAAAACTATAAAAAATGTCAAGTAAGAGGTAGCTGTTGCAAATAAAGCACTTAAAACGTGTTATGATAGTTTATATGGATATGCAGATCAGCAATATTGTTAGGTAAGATTTTTCGCACATGCACAGGAAACGGTGCATCAATCAAATGTGTAATACAGGCAGAAAGATGTGTCCCTGAAGGCCTATTTTGTAATTCTTAATAATAGTTTCGTTGTAATGTCGTTGCGCAACTTTGTTATTATACATTATATCTACACAACAATGTTATAACAATAACGAAACTGTTAAGAGTTACAGTTACAGAATAAGGTGTAAATCGCTGGTAAAATTTTTCTGAAAATTCTTATGGGAAGTATTACCTTTATTCCTCTATTTCGTTTAACTTTTAAAAGTAATCGATGTCAATTAGTTGAACTCCAACTCCAACTCCAATAATAAATGGCACCCGACTCTTAAATTGTCGACACGACCAAAGTGAATTAGTTGAAACAATTAGGTAATTTTTCTTGAACCCGTCAAACTTTCTGCGTCCATAAATGATAAAAGTGATATACTCCATTTGTCTAGAGCATAGACTTATAAGATAGACTGCGCAGTGCACGCTCTATTGTTCTCGGTGAGGCAGAAGCTAGAGTGAGAGAGCTACAGTCCACACTTTTCTTGTCCTTGTTCAATCGTTGGTGGGGAGAAGAAAAGAGGGGTGACTCGCGCCGCGCCGGCCGCCGTCAGCCGTGCCGACTCGGGAAACGAAAGAATATAGACTTATAAAACTTAACAAAACTGCTATTTAATATTTTGCTATTCTGATACTATTTTCACTATAGTGAGAAGTAACTTACTTCTACATTTGATACACTAACACAATTAAATGTAACACATGTATGTATGTACGTATATGAATTTTAATATGGCGACGAAATGTTGCAAGTTATTCCATTCAGCGAACCTGGCAGTACACGGAACATTTTTTGTGCTCGCTTTCAATCTATGGAGTTACGTGATTATGTCTCCTTATTCATACTTCAGAGAGATGAGTGGCGATCGTGGCGCGAGGAGCAGCTTTATAAGCTAGAGATCCGGGTTCAAATCTACCCAAAATAATATAACACTGAAATTGATTTTAATTTCGGAAGCGATCGCCGCCTCTCGGAAGGCAATGGCAAACCACTGAGAGTATCTTTGCCAAGAGAACCTCTTCTTAAAAAAAAAAAATGGCCGTTCGGAACCGGCGTTAAAATGTAGGTCCCGTATATCTGCGTAAAAGTGTAAATAGCGCACATCGCAGAAATACGAGAAGAGGTCACTGCGCTCTGTCAAGAGTAGTAGGACTATTGATTGATTCATACTTCATGTTCCCGGCATAACATTCCCGGTCTTAAGCTCGGAGCACATGAAATAGGCACATAAAAAGGCATAAGCATAGCATAAGACGGCTAGACCAATGAGTAGCCAGCATAAAGTCGCCATATTGATTTACATAAGATTATTATTGGTCTAGCCGCCTTATGCTTTGCTCATGTTTCATTAAGCATTTCATGTGCTCCAGGCATTAGGCCAATGACAATCTTATGTAAATCATGGCGACTTTAGTTGGATACTCATTGATCTAGTCGCCTTATGTTGTATGTACATACTTATGCTTTCTTGTGCACTTTATGCACAGTATAACCAGTAGGTCCACTTAGAGACAATATAATAAGAGACAGGCCAATTTTCTAGTTGGATAGAAAATGGCGGACATAAAGTCTTACGTGTTAAGTGTGTAGGTGTGTAGGCCGAGACAGCTTTTGTATAATGTAAGGCATAAGAGAATCAACCAATCAGAGTATGAAAACTAGTGTATTACTAGTCACAGATTGGCTGCACCATTTCATATCCAACTAATCAAGAATTGGCTCAACATTGGCCAGTCTCTTATTATAGTGTCTCTACTCCAGGTCCACTCAGCAAAAAACTGAGTCTTCGCGCAGGTATCCTCGCGCAACTTTTGTTTTGGGTTGGATCCAATAAAATGCAAGACGATAGGAACGTACACACGGGGACATTAATGCCTAGACATCTGAAGTTGCATGCATATCGGGGCATATTCGGAATGCGTGCTTCTCTCTAGATATTCACGCATCGTGACTGTTGGTTATTTGAAAAAGCGCCAATGCTGTAATAATATTTGTATAACCTTTATCCGTGTCTACAGAAAAATAATAAGATAAATAATAAAATAATAATAAAAAATAACTTTATATCTTTTACAAAAATAAAATATTTTACTTTAAAAGCATTATAATTTTTAAAGCTATAAAACATAGTTATAGCTTTTGCAATGTGTTTATTTTCGGTATTCAGATTTGAAAGTGTCATTCATGCATTTGATCCGTACTTACTATATTTACTTCAATTATCGCATCACAAAATATTTAGGTGAAAATGGATTTTACAGTTTTCAATTGGTTCGACAATTGTGTTTGTTATCCACTTGACAGGATAAGAGGTTAGAGACGCCGTTGTACAAATATGCGTTTTGTTCCCTACCAAATATCATGAGCAGTTTTGTCAATTCTGTCACAATGGGAGTAAATAGCAGCAGAAAATTACCTAAACTATGTATTAGCTAAATTTTGCGATTTACTGCTTAAAAAGAGTAATAAAAATTTTTTATTACTCTTTTTAAGCAGTAAATCACAAAATTTAGCAAAAAGAGTAATAAAAATTTTTTATTACTAGTGGATAACAAACACAATTGTCGAACCAATTGAAAACTGTAGAATCCATTTTCACCTAAATATTTTGTGATGCGATAATTGAAGTAAATATAGTAAGTACGGATCAAATGCATAAATGACACTTTCAAATCTGAATACCGAAAATAAACACATTGCAAAAGCTATAACTATGTTTTATAGCTTTAAAAATTATAATGCTTTTTAAAGTAAAATATTTTATTTTTTGTAAAAGATATAAAGTTATTTTTTATTATTATTTTATTATTTATCTTATTATTTTTC